GACCTGGGTTGCTGCATTGTCTTGCTGACCATTCCTCAGGTGGATGTGACAGGCATCTTGACTCCCTCTGCTCCTCCTGCTGCACTGATTTGATGATCACAATCCCAACCCCCAGCCTGTGCTAGTGAGACAGCCCCATCCTGCAATCACGCATGCGTGCTTGTTTGCCAGGCTGCAGGGACTCAAGAATCTTTTCTTAACCTAATGATGTAATGCAGGCATCCATGGGCTTTAATCGTTCTTACTCCTAGTATGGAAAATGAGGGTGTTCGAAACTGCCTGCATAAATTGATCAGTAATTCATTAAAGGTTGTTTTGGGGGCAATATTGGCTACATAATCATAATTTATGCTCTACTTTAGATCTGCCTAGGAAAGGCTGCTTAGAAAAATTGTAACCCAAACTAGAGAATGTTAAAATGCTAGACCCTTGATGTGCTGGCAGCAGAAATCACTAACAATTAAAAGATGAAACATTAAAGAGCGTTCTGCATTAACCAGGTGTGTCTTAGTTCTTATTTTTAAAATTGCAAGTGTGTTCAGGTATCATGAAATTCTTCCCATGGACATAGTAATTGTTGTTTTCACAAAAGTGCTGGGCTATCTTTCAGTGATAAAATTTCTTACTCACTTTTAAAAAATACTTGCTATGACACAGATTTTATGTTTATTTATTTATTATTATGACAGGATCTCATTGTTAGCACTTACTGGCCTCAGAACACAGTTTGTAGACCAAGCTGGGGTTAAAGAAATCCACCAGCTTCTGACTCTTGAGTGCTGAAAGTAAAGGCATGTGCCATCAAAATAAATAATTATAATAAATATTAATTTTTATTTATAATCACACACGTGTATTTCTCTCTTCTCTCTCTGTGTATGATCGAGAGAGAGAGAGAGAGAGAGAGAGAGAGAGAGAGAGAGAGTAAATATACATGTAGAGTTGCTAATAGATTTCAGTGGCTTCATTTGCTCCCAGAGCTGGTGTTATATGCAGTGACATGGAGCTAGGGGGCTAGGAAATGAACTTCAGCCGTTTTGTGACCAGTATTTGCTCTCAACTGCAAAACTTTCCCTCTAGAACTGCTCTTTACTTTTATGCTATTGTTAGTTACATCCCTACTGAGCATGCAGAGAAACAAACAAATATCTAGATAAACTCCTGAATTTTGGTTTATTTTTGGTTTCTGAGACAAGGTTTCTCTTTATAATAGTCCTGCTGATCTGGAAATTGCTCTGTAGACCAGGCTGGCCTGGAACTCAGAGAGATCTGCCTGCCTCTTCCTTATATTTCTGATAGACAGAGTAAATATATATATATAATCTTTGCTTCATTCAGCTCCCATCCTCCACCTAGAAATTACAGGGAGAGCTTCTCTTAGAACCTTATTAAGTTATGCTTCTGGAAATAGGGGAAGGAGACATAAACATAAGCTATTATAGCTTCCAAATGAGGATCAGCTGCCATTCTCCTAGGTCAGAGGTGCACAGCCTCTTACAGTCTCCACTTATAGCATGAGGACAGCTATGTCACCTACTCTGCACACTCTACTCCCTCTCCCATATCGGCACTTTCCATTGTGGCTGAATTTGCTGCAATGTAGGAGTGAACAGATTAGTATGTTCATATCTCAATTCATTTTATTTTTTCATTCGACATCACCATTAAATATTGAACGATATCATGCCAGGAACTAAATCAGGGTACGAATCTGGAGGCAGGAGTTGATGCAGAGACCATTCAGGAGTGCTACTTGCTGGCTTGCCCACTGTAATATTCTCAGGAATGTTTCCCATAGAGCCTAGGACCTCTAGCCCTCTGATTGCATCATCATCAATTGACTGTTCCCTTCCAAATAATCATCAGTTAAGAAAATGCTCTACATGATTTCTTACAGTCTGATCTAAGAAGGTGTTTTCTTAATTCGGTTTCCTTCCTCTTAGATGTCTTATACTTGTGTGGAGTTGACACAACACTACCGTGCACAATTTAATACTTGTCAAGTTGACACACAAATATATCTCTTGGAAGCCACAACTTTTTCTTTCTTTCTTTGTGTTCCCCATAAACCTACATTAATAAATATACCATAATTTATATCACTGTAAAAACTACCATGTCCTACAGCCTTACCAATTCAAACACTTTAAAAATTCAGTATCTTAAAAACTATCCAGTGTCTTTTAAAATCAAAATTCTCTATGATGCTCCCAAATCTCATTTAAAAAAGTTTAAAATCTTTCTAACCTGGTCTCCTGTAATATTTTTAAAAGTCACTTTCTTATTTCTAGAGGGAATAATCAAGGAACAATCTGAAAAATGGAATACCAAATCCCCAAGTGTGTAAAAACTCAAAATTTAATGTCTGGTATCAATTCACTATCTTTAGGTGACCTCTAAAAATTCTGGGTCACTTCTTCAGCTCTGCCCTCTGAAAGACACACAGCTTGTCTTCTAGGGTCAGAATGGCTGTAGTACGGGCTGCTGCTAATCTTGGTCATAGTCCCCTGGTATGCATAATCTGAAAACACTGGGAGCTTTGCTGAAATGGGGCTACCCTTTCACTAATAACCTCTCCGGGACATTCTTCAGTGGCTCCACACTGCCATACAGTGCCGAGCCCCAGGTGCCCTCCATGACTCTTCCACGCCCTGAAACCATTGCCACTCGATGATTCATAAATTAGTCAGGTCCGTGGCCAACAGGAGGTTCAAACTTCTCCAATTCTGGAACACAGCTTCAGTCTGCTGACCAGGAGGAAACACTTCCCAAAAGACTTCGCTTCCATGCTGCTGCAGGTTATGCACTGATTACAACAGACTGTGTGTTTAGCCCCAGGTGGCCAGCATCTATTATCCAGCACTGCAAAGGGTTCACTTTAGTGACTCTGATATCTTGTTAAACACAGCTGATTCTTGCTCCACAGCTAACTAGAACGATTAATTATTTTTATTTAAATTAAAATCAATCTTATTTTACATACCAATCTCTATTCCTTCTCCCTCCTGTCTTTCCATGCCCCCCAACCCCCCAGCTCATATCCACTCCCCAGGATGGATGAATCCTCCCATGAGGGAATCATCAAAGTCTGTCACATCATTTGGGGCAGGGCCTAAGCCCTTCCTCGTTTTTCCTAGGCTGAGAGAGTATCTCTCCATAGGGAATGGGCTCCCAAAGTCTGTGCACTAGGGATATATTGCCAGGTATAGTCTTTACTTCCCTCTGAAAATTCACAAGTCAGGACTTCTTTGGCTTTACTGCTCTCAATATTCTTATCTCTCAAGCTCCAACAGAATAGTGCAATGAGTTCCTAACACCAATGTCTTAGCAGAAATTCCAAAGTCCTCTTACAAACTCCTCAGAACAACAGAGTCTGTTCTGTTACAGCATTACCACAATATACTGTTATAAAGTTGTTGCAGTTAGGGTTACTATTGCCTAGAGCCTGACCATGATGGTATTTGTTTGAAATGAAGGTTTCTTTCTCATGAGGACTTTAGGTTGTATCATGCTGACCTCGACTGATACCCAGCAAAGTTTGTAGTTCTCATCAATGTGATGAGATGCATTTTAACCCTTCAAGGAAGGAATTTTCATTTATGATTATTATTATTATTGTGTGTGTGTGTGTGTGTGATGGTTTGTGAGTCTGAGTGTGGGTATGTACATGTCACAGTGTGAATATGGATGACAGAGGAAGCCTTGTTGAATTAGTTTCTCTTTCTAAACCTACATGAGTCATGGAACAAACCTGAAGGGAGTGAAGCTTGTACAAGAAGCACTTTCTACACTGGACCATCTTGCTGTCCATGAAGATAGGTCTAAATCCCAGCTGTCAACAAACAGGGACAGAGTTAACTGTGAGTTCCAGACCAGCCTGGTTTACAAAGTGAGGTTCATGAGAACGGGTCTACATAGAGAGAGATGCTGGCTCTGGAAATTATATTTTACAGGACAATTACTAAGAGAGTAGTCACAAATCATTTCTAACAATCCAACATTTTCCCTTACGTAGTTCTCTCTCAGACGCAGTGTCTTGTTGGGAAAGGTTTTCTGTACTCTTTGTGCTTCCTCTTCAATCAGTTGTTTGCTTCTTCACTGTACCGAAATATTTTTTTCATGGTAACATTTATTAATGGCTGACCTTTATTCCCAAGCTAATGGGGAAGCCCTATTGAGAAAGATCATCCCATAAGCTATGTCTTTTTCAGTACTGAGCATATTTCCCATTAACAGGTTTAGCATTTTGGGTAAGACATTGAGGTCTTTGATCCATTCTGGTTTTGGAACTCGATTTATGAGTGCAGGAGTGGAGGAACTTGGACCCAGATGGATTGATGCAGCAGCTCCTACTGTAACTACAGAGCTATCTTTCCACTGTATATGTATACTGATACACGGACCTACATGTAGTATAGTGATTTATAATTTGGAATCTAGTCAATAGCTGGCTTCCTCGTGAGTTTTCTAGACATCTTTCCTTTTCTTTTTTTCTCTTAGTTTCTTCTTACATATTTGTCTCTCTTCCATGTCCTATTTATGGACTCCTCCATCCAATTTCTCCATTCCTATCACTTGTACCCTACTATTTTCCTTACTCTGCACCCCCAAACACAGCAGTGTCTCCATTTACTTTCATGGTTTCTGTAGTCATATCTGGATATTCATTCACATTTGAAGATTTTGGACATAGGGACCCCCAATAAACGAGAACATGTGACATTTGTCTATCTGGTCGGAGTTATCTCACTCAATATTATAATTTATATTTCCATCTATTTACCCGAGAAGTATATATTTTCATGCCTCTCTAGAACCGAATATTATTTTGTAATGTACACAGCTCATATCTTCATTTTTCGTTCACCAATTGAGACAAACCTTGTTTTTTTCCCATTCTACGTGTAGTGAGTAGAAGAGAAAAGAACACAAGTAAGAATTTGTCTGTGAAGTAGGATGGTGAATAATTTCAGCATATACAATGGTGTGTGACAGCTGGATCACAAGTCATAAGGTTATTTTTATTACTAAATTTTGTGAATTCTCCTCACAGATTTTTGTAGTGGCATCACGAGCTCCCAGTTCCAATGTGGGTTACCTCTTCTCCAGACTCTTACAGTACGTGTTGTCCCATTTTTGGCGATTTTTGCCTTGCTGCCTGAATTAAGATAAAGTCTCAGAGTTACTTTGATTTGCATGTCCCTACTTACTACTAACAATGAACAGTTTCCAGGTAATTCTGATCCTTTGTTTTTTTCTCTTAAGAACTTTATTCTCTGTTTAGGCCTCAAGCCCATTTTTTTTAACTTTCTGAAATATATAGAAATTCATGAAGTTTGAATGTTTAACATGTTATTTTATAATTGGAATTTACAAGTTTAAATTTAGTTATTTTAAAATTATAATGTAACTTATGCATATAATATTACATATAGAATAATATATTCTTGGGTTCAGGACTAATCACCTGGGGATTAGCCCCGGTACAAACTCATTCACCCTATTTTAGAAGTCATTGATTTCCCACAGCTCTTCATTCATTAATTAGGTCTTTGAAATTATCCCATCCACTTTGGTATATGAGGCTGTCATGTCAGAGCAGAGAGCTTCTTTAGGCAACCATATATCCAAATACCAACTAGTAAAAATTCCAACAGGGGAGGGGACAATTATTTTGAGTAGTTGGTCAAGGTTATCCAGTTGGCTCACAAAACAAACCTGCCCAGGACTAGGGAAGTCATGAATTTTGACCAGAACACACAACTACCATTCTAATAAGCCTGCATAATTCCTTACTACATTATAAATATTTGTCTTTCTACCTTCAGATAAGTGTAGTTCTTACCTATTTTAAAGGAAAAAATTTCATTGCAAAACTCAGAGACCTTTACAAAAAAAAAAAACAATCAGTCACAGTGCATGGTTTCTGGCCCTGTGACAATGGGTAGAACCACACAGCAATGCTGACATGTTAGATTTAGGAAAACTGGGGGAGAAATATCTGTAATCAAGCTAAATCAACAATGACTGTCTCCCAATGACACAAAACTCACCTATCCACTGGTTGTTAAGTATATGAAGCTGGATATGTCTGCTTGTCTTCAGTATATGTATCTCACAGTAGTAGGCTCCAATGCCCGTGAATGAATGAGTTGTCCAGTAAGGAAAAGCAGGCAAAGAGCAAGAACTGTACTACTCCATGTCCTTTAGGTGAGCTACCATCAGAAACTGTCACCTTGGCTTAAGGTGGATATCCCGTCTCAAAAGATTTAGATTAAAGTTGGGTCTTTGCACTTCAAGTTTCAAGTAAACCATTACTAGATGACTGATGAGAAAACTCACTGTCACACATTTTACACACATTCCCACACTCACACATGCAGATGCCCATTTTGAAGGACAATAAGTGATGTAAAATATCTCAAATGGGTCAACTAAGATGGTTCAGAATACAAAAGGACTTGTTCATAAGCATTTTTTTCAACAGACCTGAGTTCAATTAACAGGACTTGCATTGTGGAAACAGAGAACTGAGTCCCTCATTTTTTTTCTAATTTCCACACATGCTTTCTGGCATGTATGCTGCCCACCAATATAAAATCATGAATAAATGAATGAATACAAATTAAGAAAATTGAAAGTACATCTAAATGAGAAAACAGTCTAAAATTCGTTCTCAAAAATAAATGATTCCACCTTGTTATTTCTTAAGTATCTAAATTCTTTGGATAGACAAAGTAATTTATAATATTTGCTGAGTGAACTATTGTGAAGTATGATAATGCACACAGAATATCTTATCATCAGGGTCCTGGTATCTTTGGTGATAGTGATGTCTCTCATGATTCTTTCAGGATCAAATACATGGTTTTTAAAAAACAACAGAAACTCTTTTGTCACTCTGTCCAGTGTGTATGTTCTGAAGAGAAGCCAGAAGTTAGCTCCTCCAAGCTCCTCACATATGGAAGTTGGAACCTTCACCTCATAGAAAATGAGATGGTCTAGGACATGACCCACTTAGAGTGATAATAATGACAATCAGTATCACTTGTTCTTAAGAATGGTTGATTTAGAACATGGGGCAAAAGATGAATTATGTATTGCTATGGCAGAACAATGAATTCTGAAGAAAACCAAATTTCAGAAAACCTTCCAAATATCAACATTTCTGAATAATCAGTTTTCACTTTGGTCTTTGAGAGTGTGTTACCTGCCCTCTTCAGGTTGAATTCTTTTGCAGGGCCTGTGTGTAGGAGTGGACAGCACCTAGCAGCTATGGAGTAAAAGGCAGAATCCGCAGACTAATATGTGGGGTAGGTAAAAATGCTTAGTTCTGTCTGGAATGTGCTATGTCCCCAGAAGAGGTAAGAAGGTTCTATTGAAGTGTGTAAATCTAGGTGAAGATTACAAAATGCTTATATTGATGACAATGATGATAAAACTGAAGTTAATAGGGGGAAAAAGCTACTGAAGAAGTCTGTAAGTGCTACTCCGGGTTCAAATCAGAAAAGACTCAAAACCATCAACCCTGTGATTAATAGCTCAAGAAACTTTGAGACACAAGGGAGGAACCTCTTAAAATGCATTAAAGAACCTAGTTCTGATGACACTGAAGCAAATAAAAAAGTATAGACTGAAGTTGTTTTCTTTCCAAAGAAGACATGTCAACAATTATATCAAGAAGTAGTTCTGGATCACTTAGCCGGATTCTATTCAGTATCTATGCTTCAGTGGTTAAGAGCTTTTGTTATTCTGGCAGAGACCATTGGTTCAATTCCCAGAACCAATATTTTGGAATAAAACTTTCTGTAATGCTGTTACAGGGAACTGACTTCCACATCTTAATTCCATACGTACCAAGCAGGGTCACATGGAATACACAAACATACATGCAAGCAAAACACTTACACTCATAACACAAAACAAATTAACACAAATATTTTATATAAGAAGTTGGTCAAGTAGAAATAGTCAGGCTTCCTTAATTTCTCCAGCAGTGGTGTCTGGTTGTTCTTTCTACAATACAAAAAAAGTGAGTATTACCTACCTGTGTTTGGTAACTCTGTTTAGAATTCATTGTCCAGAATGTAGTCTCTAAAATTCCTGCTCTGTTTTTAAAAGTGGAGCTCCACCTTTTACCTTTTTTGTTTACATATTTATATAATGCTCTTCACTGCATAGTAATAACTGTGGCCAGATATGGAGATATTGATAAATATATAAGCAGATAAAGTCAGTATTTGAATAATGTAAAAGATGGTACTTACAGAACAACACACAGTGGTACACTCATACGTGTAAGCATGCCTCTGAGAAGAAAACACCACAAATATACTGTGAATAATAGACTGGCCTCCCAATGTTAGAAATCATAGGCAAAAGAGGGAGATTCATTTACTATTTCTCCCTCATCTTTCTTTTCTGTCATCACTCGCTTATTTTCCTCTTATAAATCTAGTATATTCTTCACATGCATAAATTTATAATAACTTATGGACAAATGATAAATCAGATAATCAGGGTATCAAGTCTTTGTGATTTGTTTGTCAATTTCTGGTCTTTCATCTTGCCTTCTCCAGTACTGCTACAACATTTCTGTCATAAGGCAGTTATCTGATATATAAAATTGAAGGTCTTTTTTTCAAGTTTCAAAATTTTACATACCAATCTCACTACCCTCTTCCTCTTGCTCCCCCCAGCCTTCCTCCCACCCCATCCCTGTCTGCTCCTCAGAGAGGGTAATGTCTCCCATAGGGAGTCAATGAAGTCTGTCCCATCACCACGTTGAGGCAGGACCAAGGCCCTTTCCACTGTGTCTAAGCTGAGCAAGGTATCCATCCTTCAGAAATGGGCTCCAAAAAGCCAGTTCATGCACTGTCCACTGCCAGTGACCCCATACACTGCCCAAGTCATCCAATGTCACCTGCATTCAAGTGGGCCTAGTTAGGTCCTTTGCAGGTTCACCAGCTGTCAGTCCAGAGTCGGTGAGCTCCTATTGGCTCAGGCCATGATGGTCTTGATCCCTTTGCTCATATTATCGCTCCTCCGCTTCGTCTGGACTCCAGGAGCTTGGCCTAGTAGTTAGTTGTGGATCTCTGCATCTGCTTCCATCAGTTCCTGGATGAAGATTCTATGATAGCAATTACAGTAGTCCTCAATTTTATTTCAGAGGAAGGCCAGTTAAGGCATCCCTCTCCACTAATGCATAGACTTTTGTCTGGGGTCATCCTTATGTATTCCTGGGCATTTCCCTTGTGTCAGGTTTCTGATAATTCCATTATGGCCCCCTCTACCAAGGTATTTCTTTCCTTGCTCTCCCTCTCTGTCCTTCCCCCAACTTGACCATTAATTTCCGTCATGTTCTCCTCCCCACACCCTTTCTTTCCTTCTTTCTCCCCTCCCACCCATGCTCCCAGGAGACCTTGTCTGTGTCCCCTTCTTAGGAGGCTCCTCTTTGTTACCTAGCTTCACTGGGGTTGTGAACTATAGTCTGGTTATGCTTTGCTTTATATGCAATATCCACTTACTTATGAGTGAGTACATACCATATTTGTCTTTATGGGTCTGGGTTACCTCAGGATGGTTTTGTCCTAGTTCCGTCGATTTGCCTGGAAATTTCAAGATGCCATCATTTTGTTACAGCCGGGTACTACTCCACTGTGTATATGTACCACATTTTCTTTATTCATTCTAAAACTGAAGCTCTCAAAATATTACAACAGTCATTACTTTGGGGTTACATATTCTATCATCGGTTTTCCATGTGTAATGATCTGTATGATTAAGTATTAACTTGATCCTTCAATGCCCACATTGTGGTAACTAATGGTTCAATGGAAATCATTCAGACTTTCAATGACTACTTCATTCAGATATTATCTATCATTGTTTTCCTGATTCAGCTCATAAAGACCCAGGTTCACAAATATTTAACCATTTACTAAGTAATCCATTGTAACTGAAAACATATTGAATCCAAAGGACAATGTTTAGTTGATACATTTCTAAGATAAGAAAAAAATAAACAAATCATTCACTGCAACAAAATTGGTAAAATGAAAGAACCAATTAGGGACCAAAATTCAGAAAAAATTCAAAGGGATGGACTACATTAAATTAGGATATTAGTATAGGCAGCTCTGATCTTTCAGTAATTGTTTCGAAACAGGGAGAAAGTTCTGTGAAACTAGGATATTTTCTTGAAACTAGGATAATTTTCAAATGGTGTTTCATAATGAGTATTTGAGGTCATGGATAATGTTTGATATCCAACAAGCAGATGTTTTGTTTTTTAATCTTGTTTTTATTTTTGTTTCTCTTTTCTTGAGGATGCAGTTGCTAATAATTTCACAGAAGTGAATATTTTATTCACAATAAACATGTGTTTGATTGATGATTCAGAGTGAATAGTAACAGAAGATACCTATATATCACACCATGTTTTCCATGGTTATTTCCCTTTACACAATTAGGATGATTTCATTCTTATTTACTTTTGTCATCTCACTTTTCTTCCATACAAATATATGTATATATATTGGTAGGTAAATATTCCTAAGTCACCTACTACAAAATCCAAATCATTTTATTCTCACAGTTTACTCACAGTCTATTGTATGATTACCAAAAGATAATTTATCCACGTCTCTTTAGATGAAAACATACTTTCTACCTTTAAGAATTCACAAGGAGTACATCACCACTTTGCCATACTATATGTTTGTTTAAATCAGCTTTCTACATATATGGGTATAAAAATTATGAGTCAAATATCCATAGTTTTATATTTGATAAATATTGTTAAATTTCCACTCTCTTTTCAGGAAGCTATTTGTAATGTAAATGTAAGGCTTTTTAAAAGGCATATTTACAACTCAGCAAATGATAATGAAACTCCCACCTCCATATAAACTCTTTGTTCAGAAGATTCTAGACATTCCATAAGTAAAGAAGGTGGCTGTTCTGTAAGTTCATGCAATCTACATTCTATTAGAACCAAAACAAAACCATTTGAGTGTTCAGCAGTCTTTTCCCCAGACTCATCAGGCCATTTGTAACATCCTTCTGTGGATTTCTCAATTTGTTGTTCTAAAACTGCTGCACCTTGGTATGATCCAATCTTACATATACTGTGTATTTCCCAAAATGCACATAACTGTTGTGGTCAAATTTATGTCTTGTCCAGATATTAACAATGATTTAAACCACTGTAATGAAACTTATGTTAATGTTCTCTCTAGATATATATATTTTTCAAGGACAGATGAATTTTATTTTTTTAAGGAGAAATCACACAGTCTGTGATTGTACAGTCATTTCTCAACATCCTTTCTGTTCACTTAAGTAGCTTCTATACACCGTGGTGAGAGTACCACCCAAATGAGAGCTCTGGACATTAACTATGGTGAAAATCAGACTTGATAGTGGTAGTTCATTGAATATGAAGCAAGATTTCAGTATCTTTGCCTTTGTTGCACACATCTGGAGTAGAGACCCAAGGAAGGGAAGAGAGCCGGGTTATCCTTGTGTAGGGGAGATGAGTGACCCATTGTTCTTTCACACTTAGAGAAGGTTAACCCATGTTCTGTCGGTTGCCATAGCCCCTAGGATGGGTGTCCTTCCAGTCATCCCACTGCTGCATTCGGTGGTGGTGAGCATCCTCGTCTTCAGCTTCTCCCTTTTGCTCTGGTTCCTTCCCTTCTTCCTGAGATGCCTTGTGCGATTCAAGTGGTGGTGGTGCCTGCTTTTCAACTTCCTGACCTGATGCTAAATCCTTACATTTCTGGTGTTGCTCATACCAGTCGTTCACAGTCATAGTCGCCAGACTTGGGTACCCAGCTCCAAAGACTTGTGCTTGGGCAACATTCCGCGTGAGGATGAAGGGCTTTATGGGAGGCCTGTTCTGAGGAGGCAAGGGAGAAGCTGCTGGCTCACGGGAGACGTCTCTTTCCCTCAGGATCTCTATCTCCTGGTCGATGCTCTCAATCTCGTCCAAGCTGATGTTAATCCACCTGCGAAGCTGAAGGAGGTTATACTCCCGCACACGCTCCTCGTCAGCCTGACCGCTCTCCACTGCTGATTTCAGAGTGGACAGTTTTTGCTCCACAGCCTTGTTTTGCTTGTACCTCTGGATTTTAGCTTGCCTCTGGGATGCCATGGCAACGAGGGTAGGCTCCAGGATGGCAGAAGTGGTTGGGTTGCCTTCTGGTGAGCTGCTCTGCGCCCAGGGAAGCTGAAAATCGGCCACGTGGTAGTTGTGGCTCTGGGTAAGGAAGTTCATGAAGTGCTCTCGAGCTTCCTGCAGGTAGTTGAAGCGACGGCTGGTGCCCACCAGCTTCAGTGTGAGCGCACCCTTCAGGGCTGGGAGCATCAGGTACTTGAGGTCAGGGGAAGCAATCTCCTCACAATCTTCGTTCTGGCTGAATGGATCCAGCTCTGACAACATGTCTGAGGCCTTCTCCAGGAGTTCCAAAGCCCTCTTCACCTTATCCTGGATTAGCTTGGAGCCCATGGGTTGGGTTGAGGCTTCCACTTCCTCTAGAAGTTGCCTTCCAGTTTCCAGCAGGTCCGGTAGCCTCAGCTTCTGCAGCTCCTCCTCAGATGTTGTCATCTTGCCAGAGGGAGGAACCCGGGAACTGAACCAACAAATCTTATATTGAACTAGTTTGCTGGAAAATTAAAAAATAACTGGTACTGCATATAAACAAAAGAGTACAAAGCACAATACAGCATCTAAAAAAAGGAATACTGACCTTATTCATAATGTTTTCAGATTAGGGCAATATAGATACATGAAAATTTTCAGTATTGAAGAGATATGGTTGAGAATTATTTCAGTATGTTAAATTTCTACAAAAATTGCATAGTGCTTTATAAGCCAAACATTACATATTTTTCCCAGGGGAAAATGTGTAACCAATATGAAATTAAGAAAAACAAGGAGCAAAAGATCAAACTGTAAGGAAAAAAAGTTGTGAACATTTTCACTGAGGCTACATGTTGAAAGACTTGGCAGTGCATGAGCCCTTTGGGGAATTTCCAGATTTTTATTTAAATAGACTCAAGATTAGACAAAGGAAAACAGAGGGACAGGGTCACCATTATTCTTCTCATCATGCCCTCACAGTGGTAAAAACAAAGACTGAGCCTTCTATTGGGCTTTAGAATCTCCCTGCCAGGTCCTAGAACCACCAACTGCCCAGCAGAATGGCAAAAACACTGAAAATGGTGCTTCCTACGTCAGCAGTTATCCTGTGCAACTGATTTCAACAGGGTATTAGGAGCCTAAACACCACGTAGACACTTCAGAGATTATTCAGACCACTTGGTGACATCTGTCACACTTGAAAACCCAAGAAAGCTTTAATGTAAGAGATTTTCTTAGTCTTGTCAGCTGTAGAACAACTGAAGGAGAAAATGATATTGATGCAAACATTCCACATACTTGAGGTTCAAGAATAAATATGACAGCATCAGTTTATCTGAGTAAATTTCACTGAACCATATATGCACCATTATTAATACACTGTTGTTCCTCTATATTTGTAAATAGAATAAATACCATCAAATAATGTTTATATAAGTGTTAGCATTCACAGTATGTTTAAGAGTTGGGCCGGAAAAGATGACATGGGCAAGTATTCCTTCATTGTTTATAAGGAAGCGTGAATTGGATTACCCCTATTTCAGCAATTACCTATTACATTTGATATTAAAATGAAAATTTAAAACTTATACTCCACTGAACACAGCAACGTTTCCCTTAAACACCATTTTTGTCTTTTTATAGCTTTTCAATAACCTTTGTTTAGGCACCTTCATTTTGTTAGATGGCAGGTAGAATTGTGAGCACAGGCATCACTGATTCCCCGCAGCTTAATGAGCTATGGAATTATGAAATGTGAGAGATACTTGAAGTTCTACCAGAACTACCTAATTCATTTTCAGCCACCATAAATTTATCTTGTGCAGAATCAAAAGATGTAAAGTTAGCTTGCATCTATCTTCTCAACAACCAGAGTTGGACTGGAAAGGTAAGATTTATCGAATTACATGTTATCCAAACAAACACATACATATTCTGATTTTCGTAGTAAGGAGCGTTGTAAAAGTCAGTTTTTTCTCTCACTCCAAGTCTGAAGATCAATTTCATTTCATTTGCTCATTGTTAATTTTAATGTGATGAAGATTTCCTATGACCCTAAATCACAAGCCTCAGAAGAGTCTTGACATAGTGGCTATTCTCAGGGTGAAAGTGTCATCTCATTTCATAGATGTCTGTATGAGTAGTCACTTCATAAAGCTTTAATGTTGTGCCATGAAGAAAGGAAATTCCTAATGACTTTTGGCAATATCATTAGGAGTGACTGACAAAATTGACAAAGAAATTTATTTGGGAGCATGCCAATCTCCAATACACAAGGATATCTTGAAAAAGGGATATGCATATTACTGTATTTCAAAATTTATGTCAACATAAGAGCAGCAGAATGTTGTGGTACTTGTATACATACTGATATAAAACAACTGAATTTGTAGTGTCAAACAAATATATAAATAACTTGTCAACTGATTTGACAAGGCAATGAATTATAAAAGATTGTCTTTCTTTTCTTACCACTGTAGATTGGAGAATTTAATGTCCACATACAAATTTATTTCTCAACTCACAATGAAATTTCAATTGACTTAAAGGAATTCATAGTCCTAAAACTACAATCTAATACTACATGCCCCATGAAAGAATACACAGAAAGAGATTTTCATTTCAGTGGATATAGAAGAAGGCTACATGTCTTAATCATTTCATAACCGACTCAAAAATCTATTAGGTGGTTCAGGAAATATGGACCATTTTTAGGTTAAATATCTTTGATAGGAATATGCAGAGAGAAGCCTTTTTATTTTCTGCCACTTTGGTTTTTCCTCACCAGTCACCTGGGCTCTGCCTCCTGGTAGTTGCCAAATAACAGACAACAGTCTGTATTAATTATGAAGCTATTGGTCTTGCTTGTTTCTTACTGGCTAGCTCTGACTTAAGTATTTATCCCATAATTGTTACCCAGAGTCCTCCTGGACTCCTAGTCCCACCTATCTTGCTTCCCTATTGGCCAACAGTGCTTTATTGGCATATACCCAGGACTTTCCCATCAGGAATAAAAGTGTATTGCATATTATCTAGATACATGAAGGGGGTATAAGTGGAAAAAGATGTGGTGAGTGTATGTGTGTGTGTTTTCTCTCCAATGCAAAATTTAAAACACTGATAACACAGGATATACAATGTGTACAAAAGAAACATGAGAGACAAAATACCCTAAAGAAATTTGGGAAGTAATGATAGGAGCATTTCCTTAAAAGTCATTCTATAGTACTGTGGCAGAAACATTAAGATCCTTCCTTAAAAACAAGCTAGAAGGACAGAATCAACTTCACCAAAGTTGATCTGCAACTCCAAACATATGCTGTTGTATGTATTCATCCACACTTACACATACAAAGAGCAGATACTTAGATGTGGCTCTGCATGCCTTTAATCTCAGCAATTGCAAGGCATAGGAAGGCAGATCTCTGAGTCTGAGAACAGCTTAGTCTGCAGAGTGATTTCCAGGACAACCAGGAATACACAGAGAAATGCTGTCTCAAAAACAAACAAACCAACAACAGCCATAAAATGCAAGAAAAAATATATTTAACCCCAAATGAAAGAAAACCTAAGCACTGCAAGGTCAACAAAATGAGAGTAATAAATACTCACATTTCAGTAATAAGTATTAATATTAATGGTCCTTACTTGCCAATAATGTAGTAGTAGCTTTAATAAACTAGTGGAACAGATCAATTGATACTTTGTATCTAAGAAATGAAGTTCACAACAAAAGACAGACACAGCTTTAAAGTGATGGAATGTAAAATAATATTCCATGCAAATGGACCAATGAACCAATTTTTCTCTTCAGGTAGTCAACAAAACAGACATCAAACTAAAACTAATGAGAAAAGACAAAGTATTGAATAACATGCAGATTAAATGAACAACACCTAAAAAAGATATTATTACTTTACATATATTGCAAAAAAAGTAGGAGAATGGAGGATTCGAGTTGCCTGGTATAGGGACCATGTGCAGCAAACAATTTTGGCATGACTGCATACAAATATTCTAGGAGAGAATTTCAGGATTGTTTTTAATCAGGGAAATCTTTCTTTTCCACCACTTTAGAGGAGTAATTTAATGCCTAGCTGGGCTTGAATGATGAGCTGCTTGGAATATTATGTGTCCCAGGAACAAACCTTTGTTGGATTATAGCTCAGAGTAACAAACAGAGCAAGACTTTCATCCCAATTTTCAGGCACCTTACAATTGTCTTTCCAGAACTCATTAAATATTTTTCATGTTAAAGAGCACCACATTGAATGCTCCAGAGCAACACTGCAGGAACACTGTATTAAATACCTAAGGCAAGAAGATGAAACAATAAACACCTCCAAATAAGCCAAGCCCATAGTGACACTATATTGAAATAGTCTCCAGTACATTCAGAAAACATGTTTTACCTCGCGCTTTTGAGGATGTGAAGTAAGAAGAATCCTTGTGCACTGCTGGTAGAAATGTAAAGTTGTACAGCCTCTGTTGAAATCAGAGTAGGGGATCTTTGCAAACCTGGGGACAGATCTACTTCAATATCTAGCTGCACCGCTCCTGGGAAAATACTGAATAAGACAGTATATCTTATTATATACAATCACTTCATTCATTTTAATTAGAAATAGGAACAGACTGGATATACATTAATGAGTAATAAACATGTAGTACATGTACATAATCAAATATAACTCTAATTAATAAAACACGGTATCATGAAACTCATATTTAATTAATGGAAGTAATGCCATCCTTAGTGGGTTATCCAGAACTTCAAAGACAAAAATAGAATATAATCATTTAAATTTATCCAAATTTAGCATTTCATAATTATGAAGGAGTGTAAGAACCCTTAAATCCACAGACATAAGGTGTGGAGTAAGAGGCTATGATGCAGGGCAACTTTCCCTGAGAAAGGGTAAATAATATATGCTGTTTGGAGACACAAAGGGACTGATACTAAAATGGAAAAGCAAATGAACATGGGAGACATGAGAGGATAGGGAAAATATCCCAAGGGGGACACCAAAAACTATGAACCATTTGAAAGGTGTTATGGAATCCTACTCCACTAGATTTCTTAAGTCATATTATATAAACGAAAGAAATGTCAATGAAATGATCATATATCAGGAGCAGAATGACTTACATAAATATCTTACTACCTCATAAGACTTTCATTGCCAAGTAGGTATTATATTCAATAGATTTTGACCAAAGGGTCACCATGGGATCCCTCAAACAACTAAGTCCATTTCCCAGGCTATTGGTAGTTTTGCACAAACAAATGATAATGTCCTCTTTCTAAGGGCCATCAACTATATATCTCACAGTACAAAGAGAATTTGCAATTGTTTATTCTCTGAATAGTGTCTCTGATAGTGCAAAGTATTATGGATGCTCAAAGGGGACACCAACAAAGTTCTCAATCTTTTGATGTATGCTTACATAACACATTGTTTCAATAGTGAATTGAAACTAAAGTTGAGGGAGTAAGCAACCATTATTTGTTTAGGATCAAGGCCCATTCCATGACATGGAACACATTCTTGACATTGCTCTTGTTGCCAAGTACATGGGAACAAATATTCTATGGACCCAGAGGAAAAGCAAATACTATCGTTTTGCTACAAATGTAACAATATAATGAATCCTAGGATACTCTGTCATAGCTGTTAATCAGTTTATTGCTCATTAGTGATCAGAGAATCTACTACCTGCATCAAATGAGAACAAATGTAGAGACATATTGGGGCAATGTGTATAGAGTGGGATACCTTGATTCACACATTCATAAATGTGATGGCTCCCTCAATACGTTTCATTCAGGGCTCACAAAGCTTTGTAGAAGAGATATAAAAAGAGTCTGCAGCCAGTGATGCTGGGAGGAATGAAACCAAGGAAACAATGCCTTCCAGGTACATCAGGACTGACATATATATGAACTCACACAGATTGTGACAGCATGTAGACACACATTAAAATCAACTGGAACCCCAGTGCTGGGAGAAGGAAGCAAAAATTCTCTCCTAGTCCTAACCGAGGGGCTGCCGGAAATTGACAACTTCTCCCCTATTAAAAAGCAATTTAGTGCAGTAGAATCTCATATGGTACAGAGACCACATTCAAGGGCAGGCAACGTACCAATAAATGCACAACCAATTATGTGAACTTAATGACATTTTGGAATTATGTTTTAACTCATAATGCTCATAAAGTTTTTTTTAAACTTCACATGCAGTTCATTTATATATTATGATTTCTGATTTTGTGTCTACATTGGTTTTCTAAATGGCCAATCTGTGTGTCTGTGTGCTTCTGGTGTTTTTATTTTCTGTCTTGTTTCTCCATCTGCTGAATTTATTCTGTTTTGGTTAGTTTAAAAATATTGCCTGTACATTATCTAAATACTGAGAGAGAATATGAAGTGACAGATGATTGTGGAAGCAGGAGGATCAGAGAGGAACACAAGATCTGAGTATATTGTCTGATAAAAATCTACATTCAAAAATAAATAGTAAAAAACAAATGTTGGTATCTTGTTAATCACGCTTAATACATTAGAATTAAATGAGTCATTTTCATTGGTCCAAGAAATCCTTGAGTGTCTGCTTTTCTTATGCCATGAGATTTTCTGGGAAGGAATTCTGTTTACCAGACTTGACTGGAGGTGAGTTTACCTAACTACACATCTCACTTGGGCCTCCAAACAATTTTTCATGGAAATGCTGGGTTTGAACTCAAGAAATCTAGCATATTGGGTATGAATACTTCCACTGATCCAAACGCCTCTCCTGAACAGCTTTTGAAAAGTATGAAATTCTTTTGGGCTTGAACCATAGACCTCCAGCATACTCTGTATAAATACTATCATTGGGCTACAACTGTATGTCTTAAGGGCTTTGAAAATAAAAAATAATCATTTTCTCTGATTTGCATCCTTTTCATCAGACCTATAACCTGAATAGATTCTTATAATTTTTCCCTCACTGATGTTTCAAACCTATTAATATTTTTCTTTTGCTCATATTCCTCACTAATTATACTCAATTCTGTTGATTTTGATACAGAGCCACAAACTGAAGCCTAAGCTTGATTCTAACTTGTGTATTCCAAAGTGGTTTAACAGATTTTTACTCCCTGTTCAGCTCTCCCAATGTGGGCTTGCAGATAACACACCCGAACCCCGTGGTAACTCCCATTCACTTTTCCTTGTTTGAAAAATCCAGCCTTTAAAGAAATAATCATGAAACTCACAGGTAAATGAAAGCAACTAGACTAAAACAATCATGGTGAGTAAGGTAAGCTGGATACCAAAATACAGATATGATATGTATTTACTTGTAAGTGAATATTTGCAGTTAAGTCAATGAGAACTTACTAAGGATTTCTATGCCATGCAGAGATACCATCACCACAACAACTCTTTTTTTTATACTTTTTTTTATTAATATTTTTTTTATTTTCCATTTTAAATTTAGATAAGAAACAAGGTTGCTTCACAAGTCAGTACGAGGTCCCTCTCCCTTTCCCTCCCCTCCTCCCGTGCCCTCCCCCCATCCCCCCCGTTATCCCCTCATTCCCCCAGGGAGGGTGAGGCCCTCCATGGGGGTGTCCATAGTCTGTCATTTCATATAGGGCAGGGCCTAGACCCTTCCCCAAGAGTTCAGGGTGAGAGTGCACCTCACATTGTTCAATGGGAGTCCAAAGTCCGTGTGTATACTTGGGATGGGTACTGATCTGCTGTCCAAGGCTCAATAGATTCCCTAGGCCTCTTCACTGACACCCAGATTCAGGGGGTCTTGATCAGTCCCATGCTGGCTTCCCAGGCTAATGCCTGGGATTCAAGAGTTAACCTTTGTCAGGTCAGCTGTTTCTGGGGGTTCAACCAGCCCAGTCTTAATCCCTTTGATCATCAGTCCTCCCTCTCTGATACTGGCTTTCTTGAGTTCAGCTCAGTACTTAACCAGCCAGTAAATGAAGTTTCTGTTTCCCAGACTCTCTGGCAATAGGATTGTAGGCTGGCACTCCCCAGATCTATGTCTAAAATCCATATATGAGAGAGTACATGCCATGTTTCTCTTTTTGTGACTGGGTTACCTCACTCAGGATGGTTTCTTCTAGTGTCATCCATTTGCCTGCGAATCTCATGATTCCATTATTTTTTTCTGCTGAATAGTACTCCATTGTGTAGATGTACCACATTTTCTCTATCCATTCTTCGGGTGAGGGACATCTAGGTTGCTTCCAAGTTCTGGCTATTACAAATAAAGCTGCTATGAACATAGTGGAACAGACATCTTTGTTATATGAATGGGCATCTTTTGGATATATGCCTAAGAGTGCAGTTGCTGGGTCTTGTGGTAGGTTTATTCCCATTTTTCTGAGGAATCTCCATACTGCTTTCCAAAGTGGCTGAACCAGTTGGCACTCCCACCAGCAATGGAGGAGTGTCCCCCTTTCACCACATCCTCTCCAGCATAAATTGTCATTGGTGTTTTTGATTTTAGCCATTCTGACAGGAGTGAGATGGTATCTCAGAGTTGCTTTGATTTGCATTTCCCGGATGGCTAAGGATGTTGAGCACTTTCTCAAGTGCCTCTCAGCCATTTTAGACTCCTCTATTGAAAACTCTCTATTTAGTTCTGCAGCCCACTTCTTAATTGGGTCCTTTGCTGTTTTGGAGACTTGCTTCTTGAGTTCTTTGTAAATTTTGGAGATCAACCCTCTGTCAGATGTGGGATTAGTGAATATTTTTTCCCATTCTGTGGGCTGCCTTTTTGTCTTGCTGACTGTGTCCTTTGCCTTACAGAAGCTTCTCAGTTTCAGTAGGTCCCATTTATTAATTGTTGATCTCACTGTCTGTGCTACTGGTGTTATGTTCAGGAAGCTGTCTCCTGTACCAATTCTTTCAAGGGTACCACCCACTTTCTCTTCTAAGAGGTTCAGTGTGGCTGGATTTATGTTGAGGTCTTTGATCCATTTGGACTTAAGTTTTGTGCATGGCGATAAACATGGATCGATCCGCATTTTTCTACATGCCAGTCTCCAATTATGCCAGCACCATTTGTTGAAGATGCTTTCTTTATTCCATTGTATATTTTTAGCTTCTTTGTCAAAGATCAGATGTTCGTACGTGTGTGGGTTAATACCCGGATTTTCAATTCGATTCCATTGGTCTGCCTGTCTATTTTTGTGCCAATACCAAACTGTTTTCAAGACTAGCTTGAGGTCAGGGATAGTGATGCCTCCGGACGTTGCCTTGTTGAACAGGGTTGTTTTGGCTATCCTGGGTCTTTTGTTTTTCCATACAAAATTGATTATTGTTCTTTCAAGGTCTGTGAAGAATTGTGCTGGGATTTTAATGGGGATAGCATTGAATCTGTAGATTGCTTTTGGCAGGATTGCCATTTTTACTATATTGATCCTACCTATCCAAGAGCATGGGAGATCTTTCCATTTTCTGAGGGCTTCTTTAATTTCTTTCTTTAAAGATTCAAAGTTCTTACGATACAGGTCTTTCACTTGTTTGGTTAGCGTTACCCCAAGGTATTTTATATTGTTTGTG